AGGGGGCTGGGAAGCCGGGGGGCCAGAGGGAGGGTGCAGGGATTGGCAGTAAAGATGGGCAGTTACAGGACAGGCCGGTGCCAAGCACAGCACAGGGAAAGCAGTCAGCAATATCGTCCTAACTGCACGGTGGCGGGTGGGGGCTGGAAGCGTCCGTGAAGCGTACGATGGGCTAACCATTGTGCTACACTGAAACCAGCACAGAACAATCCTGGACGTCACAGCAGTCAGCAATTTTGTCCTAACTGCACGGTGGCGGGTGTGGGCTGGAAGCGTCGTGAAGGGTACGATGGGCTAACCACTGCGCTACACTGAAACCAGCACAGAACAATCCTGGACGTCAGCTGTAACTGAGACAGAAGCAAGAGCCCTGGCCGGTCTGGCTCAGTGGATAGAGCGTCGGCCTGTGGACTGAAGGGTCCTGGGTTCGATTCCCGGTCAGGGCACAGGCCCAGGTTGCGGGCTGGATCCCCAGTAGGGGGCGTGCGGGAGGCGCCGGTCCACGATTCTCTCTCCTCATGGATGTTTCTCCCTCCCTCTCCCTCTCCCTTCCTCTCTGAAATCAATAAACGTTTAAAAGAAGAAAGAGAGGCGTGGAGTCCACGAGAGGCCGCCGCCTGGCTCTGGGCAAGGGCTCTCTTAACAGCCCTGTCTCCCCCCAGACTCCGAAGGACTGGTGACTCCTGGGGACCCCAGTGCACTGCAGGGAGTGGGTTCCATAGAGGGAAGTGAGGGAAATGGGGTTCGGGCCCAACCCCCTCCCAGGCACCTCTCCTTCCTGCAGGGCCACGCGCCTGGCAGTTTCCCTGACACGTGGCAGGACACGCCCCGCGGACGTGGACCACGGCAGGAAAGGGACAGAACCTACAGCTGGCGGCGATGCCTCCCCGGCCTCAGCGTTCGACGCTCGGTCACGGGGTTGGGTGGCTTCGCTTTGTTGTCATTTCATTTAGTTCCCTAATTTCCCACAGCAAAACGTGCTACGTTATCACTAGAGGACGCGGTTGGGCGCGAGTGTAAATTAAGGACGTAAATGGCATGTTGCAAAGCAGTCGTCACTTTCCACCTAAACGCCCAGGAGACGGCCCTGGGCTCTCGTGAGGACAGGTGTGGCTGGCACCTGCGGGCCCCAGTCCCGATGGGACAACCGGCGACCGGTGACCGGC